TCATTGCATTTCCCACATCTCTCTCACAAATTATCTCTCCCTCTACCTTTCAATCTCAATCTCTTATACTCTCTCTCTCTCTTTTTCTCTCTCTCTCTTTCCTCCCTTGGCTCCCTCAGCAGGCTGGTGGGTTTTTTTTTCCCCCCAGTTAATGTTTCTAGAGCTGGATGTGAGTACAAAGGGTGGAGCCTGGAACGGGACCATGAGGCTGGAGCCAGGACAGGGCAGTGGGGGGGGGGGCAGCAGGTCCCCAAGGTTGTCTCCTGCTTTGATGTGTCCAGGAGCATTGATGGGACAAACTGTGCCTCAACAGAAATTGTTTGGATGATCTCAGGAGTCTTTTCCAGCTGCTCCTCTGTGTCCCAGGCAGGGCTGCCCTCTGGGGGGGTCATTTCTGAAGGTCAATGGCAAACGATGCTGCCTCCATCGTGGCTCCAGCTCATGACCTGCAGCAGGAGAGTCCCAAGTGAGGCAGCCCCCTTGTGGTGTCTGTGGGTTGTCCTCCCTGCCTGGGTGGTCTGGTCTGGTCTGTCCAGAGCAGAACCCACCCCCCCCACACACACACACACCCCTCTGCTTTTTACCCTCTGGTTTCTGTTGCCTAAAATAAGAGGAAAAGCCCTCGTGGAGCAGGGGCTGGGTGGCCCCAGAACTGACAGCACCTTCCCTGGGAGCAGCTTCCCCCTCTCCTCCTGCTGGGGAGAGAGTTCTGATGCCTTTCCACTGAAATAGGCTAGTTGAGGGTTTCCAGGGATGGTGGCAGGGAACATTCTCCCAGTTTTCCCTCCTGCAGGGGAGGTTTCTCAGGGCAGGGCACGCGGGGCGCGGCGGCTCTGCCGGGGCTGCAGCTCAGGGCTGTTGCTGTTGGGCTGGGTCTCTCAGGAGGGGAGCCAGGCAGCCCTGCTGCCCCCGTGTCTGCCAGCCCAGGAATCCTGTGCTTCTTGTCACGGGGATTTCATGGGCGTGAGGTTCCTGTGAGGCTTGTGGGAAAGCTGGATGTGCTGGGAATCAGCAGGTGGATGCACTGGGCAGGGCGGGGGCTGTGAGCCTGGCTCCCAGTTAACACCCGCTCTGTGCATTCCCACTGATGAGCAGTTCTGGGACACGAAGCCATCCCTGCCATCCCTCTCCTGTGCTCCCAGTCCGCAGGAACATGCTGGACTTCCCCCAGCATGTCTCTCCTTGCAAAGCCATCCGGGCTGCCAGCACCGAGGCCGACAAGAAGCTCTCTGAGTTCGACGTGGAGATGAGCATGAGGCAGGACGTGTACCAGAGGATTGTCTGGCTCCAGGTGTGTGCTCAGGAGGCTGCTCCATCCCTGGGGCAGCTGAGCAGGGCACTGAAGCCTCCTGGAATGACAGAAATGACCCTTGTCCCAGAACTCAGAAGTGAATGATGTCCAGTCAGGGCTGGAACTGAGTTGCTCTGTGATCATGGCAGGATGGTCCAGCTGGATGGAGAGGTGGGGTTGGGGAGGGTTTGAGGGCTCTGCCCCCACCCTGGGGCCTTGATTACCCCGTTGATAATATGGCATCAGCAAACCCAAACTGCCTCATGTGGGGAAGGGGCTGGAAGAGGGGGAGGAAGAGGCAGGAAGACCCTGATGACTCCTGTAACGTGGTGAGATGTTTAAAGCAATCTGATAGAGCTACTGCCCCCAACCCAGGCCTTCCTGTGGGGTGTTTCCTTCTGCTCCTGGGTCACAGTAACTCCCAACTCCCACCAGGAACCAGCTCCCTGCAGCCCCTGGTCCTGCAGCTCCCTGAGCTCAAGGGTTTTGCTTCACAGGAGAAAGCAGAGAGTGCTTCCCTGAAGCCTGAAGCCAAGAGATACCTGGAGAGGCTGATCAAACTGGGCAAAAGAAATGGTCTCCATCTCCCTGAGGAAACACAGGAGGTGAGATCCCAGAGCTTAAGGGAAGCACACATGGAGGAGGCCCCAGAGGGGCCGTGGAGTAAAATTGGAAGAGGGAGATGTGGGTTGGATGTGAGGAGGAAATACTGGGCCGTGTCCTGTGCCCTTTTTTCCATTCCATGGAAGGGGAGGACACGAACAGCATGGAGTTGACACTGCAGGTTGGGGAGCTCCTGGGAGGCTGAGATTATGGGGGTGCTGGAAGTGGCAGCAGTTGGGGGGTGCCCCCCTGGGGGTCAGGGTGGGCTGGGGTGGGGCTGAGCTCCTTGGAGTTCTCTTGTGCCAGCACATGGAACTCGGGGCTGGCTTGAAAACAGAAGATAAGGTGACATGAAAGATGAGCAGAGGAGGTTGCTGCTGGAACACCTGCAGCTCCCCAGCTGGCAGGAGGGGCTGTGACCTTGCTGAGGTGGCTGCTTCCCCACCAGGTGTGATCAGAGGCCTCTTCTGGGCCCGGAGCTCAGCCTTGTCTGCAACTAATTCTGCAACGTTGTGGTTGAATGAAAGCCAAGGGAGAGCACAGGGCAGCTGGGCAGGCAGGCAGGGAGCAGCAGGGAGCCCTGCTCTGTGCCTTCCCCTGGGGCCTGACTCTTCTCTCTTCATCCATATTTTGAAGAAAATCAAAGCTATTAAGAAGAAGTTGAGTGTCCTTTGCATCGACTTCAACAAGAACCTCAACGAAGACACTACTTACTTGCCCTTCTCAAGGGAGGAACTAGGTATGGGGTGATGGGGCTCCTTTCTCTGCTGGTGTGGCCCTGAGTGCCTGGATTGCTCTGGCCAAGGAGCAGGAGCCTGTTCCCGGGCTGGTATTTCTGGAGAGGCCTGGGCTCTCCATTATTCCTGTCACTCTTTTCCCAGGGGGGCTCCCTGAGGACTTCCTGAACTCCCTGGAGAAGACAGAGGATGGCAAACTGAAAGTCACCTTGAAATACCCACACTATTTCCCTCTCCTGAAGAAGTGCTACGTCCCTGAGACGAGGAGGAAGGTGGAGGAGATGTTCAACTCCAGGTGCAAAGAGGTAGGAGGCCCTCGCTGCCCACCAGCAGGGCCAGCTGTCCCCTCCCCCTGGGGTCTGGATTCCTTCCCACCCTGGGCTTCCTGCTTCCTTTCTCCCCTGCTTACCCTGCTTCCCTCCCTGCCTGGTCTGCACCGTGCAGGAGAACTGCCTGATCCTCAAGGAGCTGGTGGACCTGCGTGCTCAGAAGGCTGATCTGCTGGGCTTCCCCACACACGCCGACTTCGTGCTGGAGATGAACATGGCGAAGAACAGCGGGACGGTGGCGGCTTTCCTGGGTAGGGCTGGAGGGGGGAGCTGGGGGGGCTGGTCCCAGCCCCTGCACTCACTCTCCCTGCCTCGCTTTTCCTAGACGAGCTGGCCCAGAAGCTGAAACCCCTCGGGGAGAAGGAACGAGCTGTGATCCTGGACCTGAAGAAGAAGGAGTGCGAGAAGCGGGGCCTGGAGTTCGACAACCGCATCAACGCCTGGGACATGCGCTACTACATGAACCAGGTGGAGGAGACCAAGTACAGCGTGGACCAGAACCTGCTGAAGGAGTACTTCCCCATGCAGGTGGTCACCATGGGGCTGCTGGCCATCTACCAGGAGCTGCTGGGGCTCACCTTCCACCTGGAGGAGAAGGCTCAGGTGTGGCATGAGGACGTCCAGCTCTACACGGTGAAGGACACCTCCTCTGGGGAGACCATTGGCAAGTTCTACCTGGACCTGTACCCACGGTGAGGCCTTGGGAGAAGGGGGAGGAGGAGGAAAAGAAGGAGAAGGCTCGGGGAGGGGGGACAGACCTGCCAGACCTGCCACAGGTCCTGGGGCAGAGGAGAAGCTGTGCCACTGGTGGATGTGTGGCCATGGGAGCAGGGTGGCTCCAGCAGGGCTGTCCCACCGAGGGTCAGCAGGACCGTGGGGGCTCATGTGTGGCAGTGGGGGAGGATCCATGTGACAGCCTCCCCTTCCTGCCCAGGGAAGGGAAGTACGGACACGCCGCCTGCTTCGGGCTGCAGCCCGGCTGCCTCCTGCCCGACGCCCGGCGCCAGATCTCCGTGGCTGCCATGGTGGCCAATTTCACCAAGCCCACATCAGATGCCCCTTCCCTGCTCCAGCACGACGAGGTGGAGACCTACTTCCACGAGTTTGGACACGTCATGCACCAGCTCTGCTCTCAGGTGGGGCTGGGTTGGTGAAGCACTGGTTTGGTTCCTTTCCCCTCTCATGCATCCCTGGGGGGTTAAATGACACCCAACTATGGAGATGATCCTAGGGCTGGAGCAGCTCTGTTCTGGGGACAGGCTGGGAGCGTTGGGGTGTTCAGCCTGGAGAAGAGAAGGCTCCAGGGAGACCTTAGAGCAGCTTCCAGTGCCTGAAGGGGCTCCAGGAAAGCTGGGGAGGGACTTGGGACAAGGGCAGGGAGGGAGAGGACAAGGGGAGATGGATTGAAACTGGAAGAGGGAGATTGAGGTTGGACATAAGGAGGAAATTCTGGAGTGTGAGGGTGGTGAGAGCCTGGCCCAGGTTGCCCAGGGAAGCTGTGGCTGCCCCATCCCTGGCAGTGTTGAAGGGCAGGTTGGATGGGGCTTGGAGCAGCCTGGGCTGGTGGGAGGTGTCCCTGCCCATGCAGGGGGTTGGATCGGGATGATTTTAAAATTTCCTTCCAACCCAAACCATTCCACGATGCTCTGATGATGATCCTAGGCTGAGTTTGCCATGTTCAGTGGGACACACGTGGAGCGGGACTTTGTGGAGGCGCCGTCCCAGATGCTGGAGAACTGGGTGTGGGAGAAGGAGCCGCTGCTGCGCATGTCCCGGCACTACAAGACCGGCAGCCCCATCCCTGACGAGCTGCTGGACAAGCTCATTAAATCCCGTCAGGCCAACACGGGTGGGTCCCTGCAGGGGGAAAGAGGGGCTGGAGGAGCTAAGGGCTGCGTGGTGTCCCCAGAAAGGGAGAGAGGGGACCCCTTGGGGACCTGGCTGGGTCAGGAGCTCAGTTTGCTGCCTCCTCCTCCCACAAACAGGGCTCTTCAACCTGCGACAGATCGTCCTGGCCAAGGTGGACCAGGCCCTGCACACCCAGACCAAGGCAGACCCTGTGGAGGTGTTTGCCCAGCTGTGTGAGGAGGTGCTGGGTGTTCCTGCCACCCCAGGTACAGGCCTGCACGCTGGCTTCCCTGTTCTCTTCTCAAGGCTGAGGCTTCAAAGGGGACAGTTCCTGCTGCCTCCAGGAAAAAGCAGAGCTGAAATTATGCAAAAAATAACTGGGAAGTTCTTCCCTGTCTCCCGTGGGGTTGGGAACAAGCTGACCCAACCCCTGCTCTGACACATTCCCAGCACAGGGAGGGGTTTTCTGCGCTCTGAGCAGTTCCAGGAGCTGTTCCTGTTAACTCCCCTTCCCCTTCCTTTTCCCCCAAGGAACAAACATGCCTGCTACCTTTGGCCACTTGGCTGGTGGCTACGATGCCCAGTACTATGGCTACCTCTGGAGCGAGGTGTTCTCCATGGACATGTTCCACACACGCTTCAAGCAGGAGGGGATCATGAACTGTAAGGTAGGAAGGACAGCGGGAACCGTTGGGGACAGGAGGGACGTGGCGGTCCCACCCCTACCCTGCATCTCTCTCCTGGCAGGTGGGCATGGACTACAGGAATTGCATCCTGCATCCTGGTGGTTCCCTGGATGCTTCCGACATGTTGAGGAAGTTCCTGGGCCGTGAGCCCAAGCAGGAAGCCTTCCTGGCCAGCAAGGGACTGAAGGTGGAGAGCAACTCGCTGCCTTCAGCCTGCTGAGATGCTGCTGCAGCCCCTCCAAGTCCAGCCAGCCCCACTGCCTGCTCACCAGTCCTCTCAGGCCACACAATTCCCAGGACTTCTGTCACCAAATGCAGCCTGGGCCAGCCCCTGCCTGGAGCTCTTCTTCCAGGATCCTGCTCCCAGCTCACCCTGGGCTCTGGGGAGCTGGGTTCAGCCCTGGTCCAGGGCTCTGAGGTGACAGCTCTGCACAGGGGATGAATTGTCACCCCCCAGGGAGATGGGGCTGGTGTAGCCCACACCAATTGGCTGAACTTTGAATATGATCACAGCACCAGGGTGAGATCCAGCCTCTTTGATCACCAGGGAGAAGGGTGAGAGGAGTTACCAAACTTGAATCATGGTTTTAAAATCCCTTGTTTTTAATGAAGCTCCCACTGGGCTGGGCTTGTTTTGTGCCCCTGGGGCACAAAAGTGGCCTGAGCAGCTGTTGGGTCGTGGCCTCCCTGGCTTTGGGCAGCTGGTGGCTGTGGAATAAAGATGGGGAGATCCCAGAGCATAAAAACCCATGGCATTTCCTGGAATGTCCTGACCTCAGCCCTTCCTGGGAGGGGGACAGAGGTGGCTGGGATAGCTCTTCCCAGAGCAGGGGGTCTGGGCAGTGTGGCCTGTCCCTGTCCCATGTCCTGGGGGGGTTGTACCTTCCCCAGGGCTGGATTGGAACCCCTGGGACAATCCTTGGGCAGCTGCTGCCTTCTGGGCTGGGGTCGTGGCAGGGGAGGGGGTGTTGCTATTGCTGTCCTTGCTAAGCCAGGGTGGGACAGGGGAGGGCTGTGGAAAAAAAAAGAAAGCAACAAAGCCAAAGCAAGGCAGCTTCAAACAGCACCGAGGCCGGGGATAAAAATACCGGGTGGGCTGAGTGCCAGGGCTGGAGCAGCCTGGGTGGGGCAGGGAGCCCTTTGCCCGGCCTTGGGAGAGCCAGGCTGTGCCACCAGCTGTGCCCTTGTCCCCAGGAGCCCTACAAGTGGTGCCCACGGGACACAGTGTGCTGTTCCTCCCAGCGGGCAGGGGGGCAGCTCTGGGGGGGCAGTGACCCCCAGGGGCAAAGGCCCATTCTGGGTTTTGCTCCTGTAGGAACCAGGCTGGAGCTGGGAAGGGGGTTGAGCAGTGAGGGAGTGGGGGAGAGAGGGGCTGGCTGCCCCCTGGCTGGCAGAGGAGACCCCAGG